TCTTCAATGCTTTTAATTCTTTTTTCTTTTTTTTTTTTTGGTCTGCCTGTGTTATTTCAAACAGCCCATCTTCAAAGTCCGAAGTTCTCTCTTCTACTTCTGCAAGCCTGCTGGTTAAACTCTCTATTGTGTTTTTTATTTCATTGAATGAATTCTTCAGCTCAGCAAGCTCTGCTACATTCTTTTTCAGGGCATTGATTTCCTTGTACATTTCTTCTTTCAGGCCCTGTATACTTTTCCTTATTTCATCATGTTGTCTAGCTGAGTTTTCTTGTATCTCATTCAGTTTCCTTAAAATTATCACTCGAAATTCCTTGTCAGACATTTCAAGGGCTTCTTGTTCTATAGGATCTAGAGCTTGAGAATTATTACCCTTTGGTGGTGTGCTTTCTTGATTTTTCATATTTCTGGTATCTTTCCTTTGATGTTTAGTCATCGTGGCAGGGGATTTCACAATCTACTGGTTTGACACGATTGTCTGGCTAGGATGTTGCTGGTGTTGCCAATTTGGTATAGGTACCTCAGTGTCTGCTTGGTTGGCCACTAGTGCCTTGTGTGTGTGGTTGCCTCAGGTCTTGGGCCTCTCTGGTCAGCATGCACTCGGCCGGGCTGCTGGGTCACGCACCGGCACTGCAGGGCGTGTGGTCTCTGCAGAGCTTCCACCTCCCCTGCTGGACAACTCCCTGTTCTGCACGAACTCGGCTGCTGTGTCACGTGCTGGCACTGCAGGGCGTGTAGCTTAACTGAGTTGCCTGGACTTGTATACACTGTTTTCTCTTCTATTCACTGCAACTGGCTGATCTTTATAAGGGTGGTGTCATTTCGCAAAGGAAGTGATGTGAAATGCCTAAGACAGGATGACACGTGAACTTCTTAGAGTTTTGGAGGCTGGGAAGTCCAAAGTTCAGGGAATGCATCTGGTGAGGGTCTTCCTTGGTGGTAGCTTCAGTGACACAGGGTATCACATTGCAAGATGGTGGAAGCAGAACTGTGTTTGCATTCATTTGACTCAGCTATCAGATGTAACTATTGGAAGTCAGTCCAAGAAGAGAAGGTGAGAAAAATCGATATGAGAACCAACAAATATTTTATCAGCAAAGACTTTGCATCAGTGGGAGAGATCATTTTTCATTATTTCTTTTTTCCTTTACATATAAATCACAAGATTATAGCATGTCTCAAAAAAGCGCTTTGCCAAAAATTGAAAACTTATATTCTAGAAGAGTTGCCATGGGATTTTAGTAGGTAATGAAATGAATTATTAGAACACATTTCTTCTTTAATTCAGTTTAGTGTAAGAACAGCTGAGACTTAAAGGCTAGTAATTTTAAATTATCTTTGGCAAATCCATAGGTTTGTCCAACTGAACTCAGTTGTACACATTTTCATAGTATATTACCTTATTTCCAGGTATGTCTGATGAGTCATTTTTTGATACACTGCAATTCTGCTCTAGTATTCAGTTAAGTCACATGGCTCATGCAACAGATTTTAAAAGTAATTAATACTATCACATCTCAGATTAGGAGGAAGAGAAATGCAGAAACACAGCTGGAGAAGGACACCAATGTCACACCCATGCACATCTTCCTCCTCCTCAGTCTTTTTCTTCCATGCTCCTCTCTTGCTTTTAGAGAGGCGAATGGGATGAGCCACCAACCTTTCCTTTATCAGCCTGGTGACCATCAGTTGGTTGAGCACAGGCCTGATGCTATTCTGGAGGCAGAGGGAAACCTGGAACCAGGGAAGTTCCCTGTGACCACAGCACTCTACCTGTCTACCTGCATTGAAGAGGCATGGAGACACAGCTGTGCAGATTCTTCTTCGTTCCTATCTTCATAATCGTATGAATCATATTGAGTACCCTCAGGTACCTGCCAGTTTGGAGGAGTGTTTTAATCAAAGCAAAGACATGCCACTAGTTGTCATCAAATCACGGTTTAACATGGCCCACATCCTGATTAAGGAAAGGCTGCAGGGCTGGCATGGTGGTGTATCTCATGAGTGGAGAGGAGAGAACAAGTGTTTTACTCATCAGATGATGAAAATCATGTTAACAAAGACTTTTAAAAAATGAAGTGTTGTTACAGGGACTGCCTTTCCCAGAGTCACAGGGTCAGGCTAGGTGGCTGTGTTGAGTTTGTAACTCTTTCCTCTTAGTTCATCTTTAGTGGCTTCTAACCACATGTAACAAACTTACCTTTGTGATGAATAGATATTATTCTGGGATTTCTTAAATTCAAAAACAATCATTTCTGCAGTTTGTAACTCTTTCCTCTTAGTTCATCTTTAGTGGCTTCTAACCACATGTAACAAAGTTACCTTTGTGATGAATAGATATTATTCTGGGATTTCTTAAATTCAAAAACAATCATTTCTGTGGTAAAAAAAAAAAAGACATAACTTTCTTTTTTTCCCCATCTTAGATAACTTACATACGACAAGAATATGAAACAAAATTCAAAGGGTTGATGCCAGCATCTCTAAGACAAGAACTTGAAGACACCATTTCTTCCCTAAAATCACAGGTAATTACTGGAATCAAGGCATTTTCCAAGGACATAGGTCATGTGTGTATCCTGAAAGGAAACTAACATAAATTTAATTCTGAATAGATGCCAGAAATCAGTGTGATGTCATAGCATAACCTACTCCCCAGGATGAATTGTTTGTTTGTTTTACTTTTTTTTCTTACTACTTTGAGAACTCATTGTTTTGATAAGATTTTCTTAAAATCACCCTTGAAATTGAAAAGTTCTATTATGGTGATTTTCATTCATTTATAGTCCACATTCCGATAGGGCTTCACCCTTTTATTCTTGGTACCAGGTCCAAAATACCATCACTTAGCACATTGCTGATTGCTCACTGTGTTAAAGTGCAGAGAAATCGAAAGCACGGTTAAGTTAGAAGCATTTTTATTCTGGTGTGTTTCATATGGTTAGAGATAGTAAAATGTGTAAGTTCAAGGAAAAATAATGAGAGGTATTGAGACGATTAGGTTAAATATTTATTGCTGAAATGTATGGTTCTTGGTATAGTTCATAAAATATGTGAGATAAAATTGATTTAAATTTAGATATTTATTTAAAACTTCAAACATAAGTGTTCTCTATATGCTCTTGTATTGTTTGAATGTTTTATGCACTGCTGGTCTAGTGAGTTTTTTTAGCTCAAACATAAGAAATGGTTCACATATTTCCATTTCCAATATACTCAGAAATGTAAGACAATTTTTCCTGGAAAATTCCATGAGGAAAGGATTTCTTTACTCTCTGTGCCAAGAATTGTGCCTGGCACATAGTAGGTGCTCAATAAATTTACTTATGAATAAAATAAATGATATAATTTGATGATATTCAGATTAGCTCTTTGTATGTATTGGATAAAACATGCAGCAAATTTTAGCTGTTTATTTTATATTTCCCTCAAGTCTTTTATCTGAAAAAGGGGCTGGCCAGTTGGTTAGAGTGCAATGTTCATTATATCAGTCCTTATACTACTCTTTGCTGTTGCTTCTGTAGGCTAGGAAGTTTTGCTGTGCTTGGTCCTGCATATTAAAATAGGTACTTGAGGAGAGTGTTAACACAGAAAGGGTTAAGAAATCTTTATTTACATGAAAAGCTCTCCTCGAGGTATGGTTTACCCATTAACTTTGTAGGAGTCAGCTATGTAGGACCTGACACCTTCAGAGGAGGTTTTTTTAGGTGGGGGAGGGGGCATGGGGGAATCTGATACCCACCTGCAGGGCTTCTGTTATCATTCATATCATTTCACTGTAATAAAAGCCACTTCAGCCTCCTAAAACTGGATGTTGACCCAGAAAGAGAGTGCTGCCAGCTGCGATCAGGCCTCAGAATTGGCAGCTGCATGGAGGAGTCACAGGCCATATAGTGGGCAAATTTAGTTTGAAAGCACAGGTGCCTGTGTTTTTTGAAAATTGTTGGAATTCCGATTGCAAAGCACAGTGGGGGATGGGGAGTTGAATCAGTGTAATCCTTGCATCTGTCAAAATTATCAGTTGTCCTACGGGTCGTTTGAGCAATTGCATAAAATTAAGGGGGTGATATTACAAATAAGCAAAACTGACAGGACCACTTTGATAGGCACCCATGTAGAAAGACTGTGTTTTCCTCTCTTTCAAGCATATATTCTATTCTGCCAGCTGTACTCTCTTGCACAACTATGTTTCGGAATCAACCGTTGCCATGGTTTCACTTCAGACCAAAGGGGCTAGAGTAAACAATTCCAAAATGATCAAATACCACTGACTCTTGATTACATTAAGGCATAGTATGTTATCCCCAAACCATTTTTATTTGGTTGTAAAAGGTGCTTTTGAATTTATGCCTACTACAGGTTATCTTTAATAGTATAGAAATTTACACTTCAAAATAATCAAATGTGTTGCAAAGGTCTGATTTAAGGGAATATGCTAAGCATCCCAGTTCCCTCCATCCCCCAGCTTCCCAGGAGAGGGTGCGTGGGGTGGTATGTAATCTAAGCTCTGCGGTAGGCAGTTCCTATTGGTTGTTTTAAGTCATCCTCATAACCTTGGGAAGTAACTGTCATTAATCCCATTTCACAGATGAGCCATCAAGAGCTTAAGTAACTTTCCTAGAGCCATAGAGGCCAAGCCAGGAATTGAACCAAGTTGGCCTAACTCCAGACAAGTTCAGGCTCTTTCCAGTGCAAAATACTGTCTCTCCAACCTCAGGGAATCCCCAGAATGGATTGAGGTTTCCAGAAAGCAGTAATTTTCTTTTCACTCACTTATTCATTCATTAAACTGCTGGTGAATACCAACTACATGCTCAGCCCTGAAAAACAAAACAAAACTGGGAATACAGAGATTTTACAGTCATTCCTGCCCCAGGAGAGCTGTCCGTTTTGGGGGAGAGACATGAAAACAAGTAACCACTAGTCAGTATGAGCACTGCTGAGATCAGAGCACAGGAACGTGGAGGAGGGAGTTCCTGACTTTGCCTAGGGCTGGGATGGGCAGTTGGGGAGGAGGCAAGCGCAGGAGAGGTGACTTTCGAACCAGACAGTGGAAGAGGAATAAGAGATAGCCAAGCATTCCAAGAGAGAAAAATGGCTTTTGCCAAGGGGCAACCGAGGGTGGCTGACATGGTGTATAATGCTGTGACGGTGGGAAGGGTGCGAAGAGACATGGAGCCAGCCACAAAGAGAGGATGGAGCCAGATCAAAATGGCTCTGTAATAAGGAGTCTGAATTTATTTTGCAGCCTCTGATGGGTTTCCAGTAGGGATGGGATGTGACCAAATGTAAAAAACACAACATTGACTTTCAACAAATCCTCTGAGTTTAAGGTAGAGAATTACCTGAATTTAAACAAAATCTTACCATGCTATTTGCACAATATTGACGTTTAAGCCATGTTCACCTCTTCTCATACAAGGTTTCTTTTCTAGGTTAATTTTCTGCAAAAGAGAGCATCCATCCTTCAAGAAGAACTGACTACATATCAAGGCAGAAGGTATAGCCCTTGAGCACAGTGCCTTCTGATTAGTTTGTATTGTTTCCTCCTGTGAGTCTCCCGGTTTACCATATGAGTCTTTATTAAAATGCTTAGACATAATTTCAGTTTTGAAAAAAAAGACTTGTTTTTAGTAAACAGCCTATCTTTGAGAAATCACCCACCTCTTTTCCTCGCAGTGTTTAGTCAGTACTGTTAGAACAGAATGAGGGGCTGGGCAGTGAGCTCAGCTGGCTAGAGCATGATGCTGATGACACCAAAGTCCAGGGTTCAAGTTCTGTGGCAACCACAGGAAAAAAAAAAAAGAAAAGATGATAGAGTCTGCAGAGGTGTGGCAAGTCTGGGCCTCCCCTGGGTGGTCATGGCGAGACTTTGTTGTGAATCCCACTTGCAGGGCTAAGCAGATGCTGTCTTCCTCTTAGTGAGCTGATGCAGTTCTTGATATGATGGCTCATGTCCTCAAAGTCCCATATCCCCTGGGGGTTTGGCGCTGTTCTCTAGACCAGAATCCACCAACGTCTCAGTGATGTCGCAACACTCACAGCGACTAAGTGTCCCCAGTGTGCACTTCTCAGGGATGCGCAAGACCTTTTTAGTCAAAGGTTCCCAGTGACATCATGGACACAGATTGTGTTTACCTGCTCTAATTCAGTCCTACAGTCTTCCTTTTAGTGCAGTGAAAGACTTGAACCACCTATTTGGCATTGAATTAAAAGGAAAGAACTTGTGAATCATTCACTTTTCAAAAGATTCTGTTTGCTTGGTGTAGATAAGATTTGCTCCCTTATAAGCAGAAATAATGAGATTTTGATATCAAATATACTTTTTAACCCCTGACCTACTTCTCCAGAATTTTGTAACTGATCGACCTATTAAACCTAGAGAAAGTCATAACTGAGGTTTTCGATTTTCAGGTAACTGCACAAGAGAGTGAAATGGTTGCATTGTCCAGGTTGCACTGTGGATTTCCTCCTGCAGGTTTGAAGATTTGGATATTGTAAAGTAAACTGTGAGATCAGTGGCATATTTTAATACTTAAATGTAATTAAGATCATAAAAAACATGCATTATTCACGCATTAGTGGGGTGGTTTATTTGTGTCTGCCTAACTTTTTTTTAACACTCCTTCTGATTTCCATATTTATGCGCCTTTGAGTATGTGCTGAGAATTGCTTATATTGGGAAAAGAAATGATTTCTTATGGTATACCTTGTTATTGCTTCTTCATAGAATTTTACCAGTTACGTATGATCAAAATCACGTTTGTAGTATCATATCAAAATTTTTAACCTGTTTACATTGTTTTCATGTTCATGTTCATATATTATTAAAATATTATTTTGTACTTACCAGTTTTATTTCTACTTTTTATCACACCTCATTTACTAAAGTAAGTGTGACACATACATGGTATTTTTCCCTAGCAAATACTTGATTGTACTTTGGGGAAAAATACCTTATGTCATTTCAAAGACAGATCCATAATTAGTGCATGAAGTTGGTATTTAGAATAAAATCACTGCATCATCTGATATCAGTCCAAGTATTTGCATGTTGGTCTCCAATCTGATCCTGGAACTCCAAAAGCAGAATGGTATAAGAATTTTATGTAGCAGCTATGGTTTAATTGTTACTTTCTTGATCTCTCTTTTTATGGCAGTCCAAGTATTTGCATGTTGGTCTCCAATCTGATCCTGGAACTCCAAAAGCAGAATGATATAAGAATTTTATGTAGCAGCTATGGTTTAATTGTTACTTTCTTGATCTCTCTTTTTATGGCTGCTGTAATTGTAATATCAATCAAAGATCTTCACAAAAGCCTAAAAATGTAGAGTCATGTTAGAAGGATGCAGCACATTGGCAAATGATCACAGAATAGGCTTTAATTGATCTGTTTTCATGTGGGCACCTCCTCCTAGAGAGAATATGGTGTTGCTCCCATAAGTGGATGTGTAAATCTGGGTCCCTCTCTCTGTGTGAATGCCAGTAAGAGTTCTGTGCTGATCTGTCAACCCTGATTGGCCAAGGAAATTTTGAAGTGCACTGAATGGATGCTCCAGATTCTTCTGTGACTGCACTGTGGTGCGTCATGCCACGGGCCTTTTGAGACACTCCAAAAATCTGGCCCATGGGTGGGGCTGTGGTCATCTGATTTACTGTAAAGGGACAGGGCAGAAAGTTTATTTACACTTTTTCAAAATTCTTTTCTCTTTCCCACGCCCTTATCTGTTGTTTGCTGCCCAAGTATTAATTACCCTTTTTTGTGCTGTAACTGAGACACAGAGATGATAATGAAGTACCAGGTTTTACAGCCACTTCCACAGACAGGGTGAGGATCAGCACAGGCGTGGGTGTGTGGTGGCCATCAGTGGAGGCCTGGCATTCTTGCACTAAATCATCTGTGTGGGGCCACCACACTGCCTGTTGACGCTTGGACACTCACCCTGACAGTCTGTGTCGTTTGGAAGATAAGGTTTTTCCTGCATATATGATAAATTACAGTACTGGCTTCAAGCAAAAGCAAAATCATAGCAGATGCTATTAAATCCACCTAATGAATGAGGACAATTAGTACTCAGACTGTGATTTAGTACTTGGAAGGGGAAGATTAAGGCTACATGATTAATGTTAAATACTTCTGTACAGACTATGGAAAACAGGTTGAGGTTCAACAGACTTGAATAGTAAGGTTATTAGCTGTTTGAAGTGAAAATACTTTGTGAATTGTATTGTATGCTGGAATTGGAACTCCCACTCAAGAATATTTGTTTTCCATGGGTAAATATCAGTAGGTGTTTTGGAAAGTTGCCTTCTATTCTTTCTTTTCCTTATTTCAAGGGTTATGAAATTACAAACACTGGTGAACCTTTGACATTACCCAGATCCTGTTACCCTTCTGAAGCGTGTCATGTATGTGTGGGAGTAAATGAAATGAAATTTTAGGGCAGTTTGATTGGAAGTGATTGGAATGGGTGGTTGACACTAATATATTTTGTGAACATTCTCTGATGCAGGAAGAGAAAGAAAAATTGCATTTGTGTGTTTGAAATTCCTTTCTGAGTTGAGCACTGTGTATAGAAATGGCTACTGGGATAAAAAGTAAGTGCTCAGGAAGTAAATTATAAACCTTGTGCCTTATTATAAAATCATCTAAGATTTCATCCTTTCTTTTATCTGGTAGAAGATCAATTGTTCATTACAAGTACCTAATTTAATTACATCTCAGGTTATTATAACTGGCTGCTGTACCTGAGTCATCCTCTTGTGCTTTTTATATTTCAACATGTAATTGTCAACAGGTAGTGATTGATAAAGCACTTGGATCAAGCCAAGCAGAGGAAAAACTCTGGGATCACAGCATTCTTGATGTGTGTTGTTATTCAGTTATGGGGTCAGGAAAGAGAAAAGTTAAAAGGAAAGTCAGTTATTCAGTCATCTGCGTATGTCATAGTTTTGTTTGAGTCACTATTTCTGCATCACCAAGCAGTGAGCCCTTTCAGGAGTCTGACCTCTGATTTTTTGCAACCTCCCCTCTTAACAATGAACTCCACAGAGGGCAGCCATCACGGGGCACAATGGAGTGAAAAAGACTAAGACAGAGGGAACAGAGGATGGACAGACTTGCTTCATAGATTGTACAAAAGAATTGACTATGACTCAAGGGAAATAGCTGAGATTCAGACATTACCCTGTAATGTCACATATTAACAGTAATTTCTTCAGAAACAGGCACATGCTGATAGTGGTGAGCAACCTCATTAAAGGAATCTGCAGAGAAAGTGCAGAAAGAAGAAACTGTGAGTTTGAATTAACAATTAACAGCTCTCTTATTGAAGTGCATCACCATCCATAGAAGGCAGTGGTGTGGTGTTTCAGCTTTCTTTCTAAGAGTAAAAAGGAAAGGTAAAACATCAAAAATGGTGGGAGAAAAGTTTCAGAACCCAAGGTCATTTTAATTCATGTTTCCTTAAAAGAACTATCTCTTCCGAGCTTTCATATTTTGTTCAGAAAGGTCGTCTCTTTTAAGCCTTGTCATTAAAGACGGTTTGCTCTTTAAAGTGAATTATCAAAGGGTGTAGAAATTGCAAGTTACTGAAACTAAAATGCATGATCAATTTTAAGTCTGCTAACTAAAGCCTACTTAAAATTGGATGTGCTTTTGTCCTGGCAGCCTCTTTGATAAAACCAGAAAAAGATACATGGTTGACCAATTCAAAGTAGGGAAGGAAGATAATTAGATAAAACTTTTTTTTCAACTATTGAAGTGGCTCTTGGCTTTGGAGACTTGATTAGGAGCTGTGGCATAGGCTATAATGGTGTCTGAAAAGTGAAAATTGAATATCCCAGATTTTGACCTGGTTAGTATTAACATTCTTCACTATATTGTTTTTAAAATAGAATCAAACTTAAGATCATGTTATTTATCCCTCATATAGAGGAAGAGAAATGAAATTTGTAACATAAGACTGAAGGAATTTTAAAATCTTGATCCCTCACCAATATCTAGTTGAGTTGAAAATTTGTTCTTCCAGACATTTCAGTTTTAATCAAAGATTTCCATCAGGCAAATCTTTTAAAACCAAAGACCCAAGATGTTGCCATAGATTTTGCTGTTTTGAGAACTGAAGCTTAGTCTAGACTTCAGGCTAATAAATATTCTTATATCCTCTTTGGGAGTCTACCACTTAAGAGAAGCCTCGTGGAAAATAGCTAGTTGGACATAAAGACTTTATCATGGAACGGAAAGAGAGGGCTACCTAGTAAGAAGCCCGATGTATTTAATTAGCTAAAATGTGGTTATGTGAGTGAAACTATTTTGTACATACCCCTTTACTTTAGCTAGGAAAGGAAATTAGTTTATAGGTTGAGTCTACCCATTAGCTTTATTTCCTTAGGTAATTCTCTATACCTATCTGGGCCTTGCTTTTCTAATTGATAACATAAAGGGGTATAACTAGACCATTATTTCCCAAACTATACCATTTCAGTCCTCTTATTCAGTTTTTCTCAAGCTAGTATTCCATCAAGCCCTATTTTGTATAATTTGTCTTGAAGTATTCAGATTTGATATTTAGGAAATGTGGCATGCTATATCCCACTCTTGAAGACACATTTACATAACTCATTCATTGATTCATTTAATAAATAGTTATTGATTGCCAACTGTGTGCTAGATAGCACATTAACCACTCTAAAACTTAAAGGCTTAAGCAATACTTTATTATAAAACAATAATGGCAATTTATTATAAGACACCAATTTATTATCATATCTCTCGGTGCTGAGGTTGACCAGACTCAATTAGGCTGTTCTCACATGGGTTTCATGCAGATGCGGGCTGGGGTGGCAGTCTTGGGAGACAAGGGCTTACTCACATGGTGGGCAACAGATACTGCCTGTTGGCTAGAGCATGGAGACTGTGAATAGCCCTCAAGAGCAAGCCCAGCAAGAGACCAGACATAGAAGCCACTATCCCCATAAGGTCTATGCCCAGAAACTGGCACAGCATCCCAGAGTCAAGGGTAGAAGACATAGACCCCAGCAAAGTCAAAGAGTCTGTGACTATCTTTAATCTGCCACACCCTTTGGTAAAGAAGTCTACTTAATTTTCTTTAACCTGGAATTGCCTAAAATGATTTGATCCATGGAATAGTTGTATAGCCTTTTCTGTGGCCCACATATTTTATTACACAGAATTCTGTGAAATATTGATTTGAGAAACCCAAACCTAAGTGATTGCTAAAAAGTTCCTTCCTGTCCAAAAAATTCTGTATCATGTTTCTACAATCACAGGTTAAATTGGGGATTTAGAAACCCTTCTTGAGAAGCCCTGAGTTAGGAACATTTGGTAAGGCCGTGTCTTCCTCTGTGATTCTTTTGAAAGATGGTAGCAACCATAGTTGAATGTTTTTCTCAGCTCTTCTCTGTTTGGGCTTGATATACACTGTTTATCATAATTATCTTAGGAAGTGTATTATTATAAAGGTCCACCAAAACTCATACACTGTGTTTAGGATGGTTTTTCCTTCTTTCGTGGAACTACCAGGCACAAGGAAGGATGTGGATTTGATGGGCCTGTGAAGGGAAATTTCCTGAACCACAGAACACTTAAAAACTACTCAACCGAGTAGAGCATGATTATCTCGATAAACAAGTGAATCAGCCTCCTCATCGCCCCGTTAGCTTTCTCACCACTGCAGGGAGTTCTCTCTGTTTATGCCACTTGCCCATCTCCTGAATCTCACTCTTCTCAGCCCGAGCCTGGGTGGGGGAATGTAAATATGTAAACAGAGCCGAGTGCCAAGAGCGAGGCTGCCTTCCTGCTAACTCTGCATCTTACGGAACGCTG